ATACATTGAGAATTCGCATTCTCTGTGATGAGAATATTTACTCTTTCTCAGTTGATTCAACAGAAAACAACTACTTTCCTGGCTATATGCCACGACGAATATTGAATTATATCTATTGAACACACACGATAAGAGTTTGACAGGAATAGAATGTCAACAAATTTCTCAGATGTCATTTCGTTATAGTTTTACTCGGTTTTAGTTGTATTATAGAGAGATGAAAATTGTGTATATCATGAAGAATGGCTGTAAGAATAAGTGGACATCATGGTTACTGATGAGGATTCAGAAATCCGAAATGGTTTCATTGCAATAAAGTCATATAACCTGTGTGTGAGAGATAATATTTCCCATATCACTGATATGAATGATTATTTTTGGAAGTTTTCAAGCTCATCAAGATCAGAGTTTATGCCAGTATACTTCTCCTATACATTCCAATTTTCATTTCAATGCTGAATATATTGGTAAGTTATATTTCTATATCATTATACATCATATTATTCATCCGATTTGAAGAAGAATGTCAATTCTCAATTTCGGAGGATTTTATTCTTCATTTTTCATGTTCTCCTTTTGAATGTTCATCAGATATAATTCAATGTTCGACGAGGCAAATAGCCAGGAAAGTAGTTGTTTTCTGTTGAATATTCAGAATGATGTGTGCATATACATATTTTTATCTGAAGGAGAATGCAAATTCTCAATTTCAGAAGTTTTTATATTTTATTTTCAAACTCTTATCGTGTGTGTTCAATAGATATAATTCAATGTTCGTCGTGGCATATAGCCAGGAAAGTAGTTGTTTTCTATTGAATCAACTGAGAAAGAGTAAATATTCTCATCACATAGAGAATGCGAATTCTCAATGTATTGCTTTATATAAATATATATCCATTTTTGTATGTTCATAATTTATCTGAGAATATTCCTTTTCAACACTTTCATACCCAATCAGGGGGTTCAAACTTGAACGATGGAAACTTGTGATTTTTATAGACTTCTAATCGCAGATTCGTGATAGAGTCTCAATTCAGAATTTCTTTCCACGCCCTGTATGATGAATGTCAATTTATCATACACCAAAAAGCACAATACCAAGACTTCAGATACACCAGATGATTGATAGGAAAAATACCTATAACCTATATTGAGAAATAAACAAGATTAAATCACACTCAAGCGTAATGCTTCTGTGATTTTTCTTTCCGTATTTATTTCCATATTACTTTCATCAACATTGCATCTTCCTTGCAGTACTCGTTATTATTTTAGATTTGAATATATATTTTGTATTCCCAACATATTAATTATATCGAAATTATATTATCCTTTAATTATTTTTTTATATATAATTTTATTATTGTTATTGTAGGTGTACTATTTAATTATTTATATTTGATTTATTTGATGCTGTTATTTACACATGTATCTACTGATATTGAATTGGAAATAAAGTTATTATTATTATTATTTATTATTATAATGGTCTCGCCGAAAGGAATATTCAAACTCTGAATCGGCTAAAGGCTGCTTCTAGTGATAACAGGCCGATCCAGGATAAGCTACAGGATATTCTCTTCCGCTTCAGAGCTACTCCACTTGTCTGTGGTAAATCACCTGCAGAATTGTACCTCAATAGGAAATTGAGAATCCGTTTGGATGCTATTTTTCCGAATTCACTCCACAAGTCCAGGACATCTTCGAGGACTCCTCGTTCATTTCATGAGGGGGAAAGATTCCAGATCAGACTTTTTATCAATAATAAGAACGTCTGGCATTTCGGCGTAATTCAAAAAGTTCTTGGACAACGCCACTATTCGGTTACATTGGATTCCGGCCGAACACTGAAACGACATGTCGACCAACTTAGATCCTGTTTGGTTCCGAAGCCTACTGTTACCTTTGGACCTACATCATTCGACGTTCCAAGAATACCAACAGTGCCACAGCCACATAATATACCAGAATGTGTTGTTGAACCAGTAGAAACAAATAGGTGTCATGTTCCAGATCTTCCTCAAGATCGACCACAGCGCCAGCGACGCCTACCTTCACGTTTTGCTGACTACGACATGAAGTCTTGGAATTGTTGTTTACTTTTATTTTGATGATTTTTGTATTTTCTAATTATGTGGGGGAGACTGTCGTATCCTTAGATATTAGAATCACCCAGTATATACTATCGATATATGTCAATAGTTCATGACATACGCTAATTAGTTTTCAATAAATGTGACAAGGGACATTACAAGTTCTTCTAATATATCCCAGTTCTATACAATAGCATTTCATTGGCATTACTAATCTAAATCGCTCGCCCATTGACGTCACACGTTTCGTTTTCCAGAGACATGTTTTTCGACATATATTTTCTTCTAGAAATGACGCATTCTCTTGTATTTATAACTTGTGTCAGGTATTGTTTTCCTAATATCCTATTAGATGGGGAGGAAACAGTGATGGGCAAAAGTTAATGTATCGATAACCATTCTTAGATTTTTCGAATTTTTGTACAGGATGATTTCAAAACATGGCAAAATCGTGAATATCATCGCCAATGTAGCCACGTTTCCAGTTTTTCTGCAATTCTTGCCAACTTCAATATTTCAAATTGCATATCTTATACAGGGTGTCCCATAAGTAATGGATCAAGAGAAGTGGGGTGGTAGAGGGGGTCATTTGTAATCAAACTAATGGTATATGTTGTTATCAAATTGTTGGAGGTTCAAAAGTTATTCAATTGTTCTGGAAAATACGACCCATTTGATTGAAATTGATAACAAAAAGGCTGTTTTGAATAACACCATATGTTATACCATTTCGGAATCTGTATTAAATGAGCAATTATTTCTTATGATTGGTTATTTTTGAGTGTTCGTTTTTAAATCTGCCAGCGGCATTAAAAAATCGACTTAAATATTTCATTCGATGACAAAACTCAAGGAAATAGAATTTTCCTAACAAGTGCGGAAAGTGATTCTCTCCCGCACTGCCGTTGACACGAACGACGCGAAGCGGAGTTCGGACAAGCAGTCGAGTGCGGGAAAGACACTTTCCGCATGAGTTAGGAACAATATTTTTTCTACAAGCGTAGAAAATTCATTGATTCGTTCAATCAATTATTCAAGCAAATAGGAACAACTAACAAGATATATACTGGGTGGCCCACGAGGTTTTGGCCAGTCGATATCTCGGAAACTATTTGAACTAAAATTTTGGAATTTGGTGGTTTTAAACAGTGGAATGTGGTGTTCATTTTTGATATTTTTGTAATGCTTTTTCTACTTATTTTGTTTCGTTTCCTAATTATACTGTTGTTCTTCAATAAATTTTCCATTTTCCATTCATTTGACAGCTTATATTGTCACCGTTTCACATGAAAACCCTAACAATGATGGTATCGTAGTATTTGCATTAGAAAGGTCTTAACAAAAATGCAATAATATACAGGGTGTTCCATTTAAAATTTTGAAGTTGATATCACGTGATTGGAAATGCGATGTTGCAATAAAACCCTCTTATACCAAAAATGGTCACCGCATTCCATTGTTCAAAACCACAAAAATTCAAAATAGTAGTTCAAATAGTTTTCGAGATATCGACTGGCCAAAACCTCGTGGGCCACCCTGTATATTCTCTATCTACTAATTATTAGTAATAGCTATTGTGAACGTACAGTTTGACGCATTATGTTGGTTCATTGCGGAAGCCAGCAGGCCTATAAGTAGTTTGGTCTCTAGGTTTCAGACACTTCTATGAAATGAGCCAAAAATACCTATTCTTCATTCGGTATTTTACTTTTTTTATTGTTGTACCATTCAATTAAACGCGTGTATAGCTTCTCATACCTTTCTTAAAACTTCGTTGGTGATAACACATCTGTATCGAATCCCTATAGCTAGAAGTTTTTGATCACATTGTGGCATTTCCACTGAATCGAAAATGACAGTACCGCTGTGTCTGTCACTTCGACAATTTCAAACTTATTTAAGGTTTGATTGGCATGACAACAATAATCGTTTCCCGTCAGATCAATCCAAATCTATAGGGGGATTTTTATAATAATCAATTTTTATTTCTCAATATTTCTTAATTTTCACAATAAATAGTGCAATTTGATGGATGATTCTGAACATACATACTTAATACTGCAACAAACAAACTCAAACTTTTATATTCCATCACCAACCACCTATATTATTAGCGATTTTATCATATCTTTGTTTTCCCGCACTAGTGCGGGAAAATGACACTTCCCAAACTAAATTGCGTGCGGGTATAGGGTGAATCACGCACGCTTGTAGAAAAATAACATTTTTCTCAGGTAATTGATAAGAAGTTATACATGTCATGAAATTATTTCTTGGGAAAGGTGCATCCAAGTGGATGAAATTTGTTGAAGAAAAAATCACAAGTGTGACATAGTTTTATTATTATTAATCCTTTTTACAGGAATAAAAAAACATTAATAACTTTTGAACCATCAATAATTGGATAACCACATATACGGTTAGTTTGATTGGAAATGACCCCACTTCTTTTGATCCATTACTTATGGGATACCCTGTATAATTTCAAAAAATTTCGAAAGATGTCATTCAGCATATTCATTAATATATCATTCGATATTATCATTTTCAATAACAACAGATATAGATAGGTATGTGGAAAATTCGACGAAGTATTGAACGACGATGGCACAGCAGCGGAGTTCGATTTCTTTGTCGATATGAATGATAAAAATAATAGACAAAATCACCGGTAATGGTGGCAAATTAATTCTCCTTGTGAAACGCACATATACAACACATTACGGTTCAAATTTTGAAGTTCCCAAAAATATTGTCGCGTACACATAAACATGAACTTCAACGTCCTAAAGGCTCCTCAACAAACCCTACTTTTGAATATTGAGAAAGATATATATCCTGATACTCCCGATTTCTTTTGAAAAAAATCTGATTACCCAATAAACTAAATCGTTTCTCGTTCTGCAGCCACCTGTACCAAAACGACCATGGTCTGGCATTCTGAAATGTCAAAAGGATAAAGACATGTGCGTCCAAGATGTCAACCCGGTTACTGGTTCAGAAGATTGTCTGCACGTCAGCGTTTATACGCCGAATGTGAGTATTATATTGAAATGAGAAGAATGATGAAAACTAACCTAACCTAACATTATCTGAGAACTTTTCATATTCATGCTCCTTTCATCGATAGGAAGTTCTATCAATAGTAATTGAAAATAGATAGAAAGACAGATTAGATCATTAATCACTCAACAGACCATAACTATTCTTGACTTTGTTCTAGTTTTCATAATGCTCAGCATGAATGACATGCAAAATTAGGAAAATTCTCCTAAGGGGAACAATGTTCTTTTTTACCCAGCAAACACGACATAGGTGGCGATGCAATGACCCATTGGTTTGATCGATGGCATACTGCTAGCACTATTTTTCGGTGATGAAAAAGAACATGTTTATTGTTGTTCCGATCATAATATAATACGTATGTTGCACTTGCATTGTGCTAGTATGAGGGGACATTTCCTATGGATCACGATTACACTATTTTTACGGCATTGGGGAATCAATGGGTATGATCCATATTACAAAGATCACGAACAGTACTGGTTGAACGATGAATGAAGGATATAGTTTCCTCAATGTCATTAAGTCATCAAAGAAATGGCAATGGACCATCATCCTATTTGATGCATTTTATTAACAGCATATTTTCGGCAATCGGCAATCGATGTGTTTTCAATAGGTCTTCCATTCTGTTTCTCCTATCCTTTTACGTATGAGCCGTCATTTAACACTGTAAGACGTGAAGTGAAAAAGTTGTATTTGAGTACCTTATTATTCAATCTTATCAATTTGAAATAACGAATTCAGTTGTATTTAAACTGATCATTTCCTTCTAGAACGTCCATCGTGATGTGTTATAGTACCTATACCATGAAGTTTCAGAACTGAAAGGATTCTAGGTACTTTTAATTCGGACTTAAGTCTTTGCTTCCACATGATTATTGTTACAGCAGGCTGGTTATATGCAGTTATGATTTAAATATAAAGGAAAGTACAACCCCAGGATTTAAAATACGGATTAGGGGCGTGGCGATACTTAATTTTGAAGATTCCATTGAGTACTATCTGAGCCTGTGATTCCACGTGTAAATTTTCATCGATAACAAAATGAGAGATGAAATGGTGAAAGAGGAAGTGTCGGATTCGCCTCGAGAATATCATTCTCATTGTATATTACAATAAAAGAATTATTCATTCCCAAAGTTCGTGAATGCACTATCTGTTTGATTTACCTCAATCCATTCTGAATATTCAACAATTCGATTCGATTCGACACGGTTAAAAACTGAGGTGAATCGAACAGATAGTGCGTCCACAAACTTCTTTGTGATAAGAAATAACGAATGAATTGATACTGTTCAGATCATGCTCTGATAAGGATAATATTTTCGAAGTAAATTTGACATTGCCTCTTCCACCATTTCATCCCTCATTTTAATATCGATGAGATTTTTGACGCAAAATTATAGGACCAGAGATATTCTTATGGACAAATTTAAGTAACCTCACTTTTTTCAATTTCCAAATTCATATTTAACTATTTCAAATTTCGATTTTATGATAATGTCTTTTTCAAAATCAAGAGTTCATCAACAAGTAACAAGTCACCAATTTATTTCTACCTTTTTTCAATATTGAACAAATTTTCAAAAAATTGTTCAAAAAATGTTTTTCGGAAATTTTTTTCGAATTTTCAATTTCAATTCCTTTCCAATAGCTAAATGCAGATTACTTACTTACAGGTATGCACTGATGATGACTTAACAGTCGAAAGCACTCTGCTACGAATATAAATTTGAATAAATTATCTTGCACGAAATACAACTCTTCCCTTCTTTGACAAAATTATAGGGTTGAATAATACCCTTGATCCTTCATTAAAATTCATGGGTTGTGCTGTCCCCTGTTAGGGAACAGATGAAAAAATCAGACAAGTCGTTCCCCCCGAATCAGAAATCGACAGGTCCGAGAGTTTTTCAGGATTTTCATTTTAAAGCCCTAAAATCGGGGTGTTGAATATTCGTTGGAGCACTCTGTATACTTGAATAGGCTATATATACCTTCCTATATTTCGAGGCATTTTTATAGTCTAGATTGTATCACTCATAGCTTAAGAACCAACAATTATTCAATGATTGAGAAAAATCTTGGCACTCCCTTAGCAGAAACAACCACAGCTATAAGGTTTAGCCGAAATATTCTTCGAATCTAATACCACACCTGAGCAAGTTGCTGCCGTAGATGTATAAAGAAAATGCTGGCATAAAATGTTCAATGTATTTGAACGAGATGTCCTCGAACCAGTAGACCAGCATGAAATTCAACAGATACACGCGATGAATAATCAAGTTTAAAATAGGACTACTCTACATTCGAGAAAAAAAAAACATCTGGTTAGTATAGGCACAATCAGTTGTAACCCAAAACATTTTTTATTATCACTTTTTTTTTTATCGCTTGGAGCGCACGAAAGGAAATCCCTATAATGTTCAAAGAACATCATGCGTTCCTAGGGAGGATAGGGACAGGAGGTAGGTATTGGAATTTTTCTTGAACTTCTGGAGATTATATTATGTTGTTGGGAATACTTCCTCAGGCAATGAATTCCAGAGCCTAGCCGTTCTATGGATGAAGGAGTTTTGGTAAAGCCAGAATATCGTTATGGTTATAATTCGATATGGTTTCTGCAACAATGTGTATCTTGTTGTGCCAATAATAACCAGAATATTGTAACAGTAACTTACATTTTTTACCGTGTTGATTCGTCCTAATTTCTCAGCTAGATGCTATGAGATGAGTTAACATATGTATCGTTGACTGACTCATCAATTGAGATTACGATGTTCTATTGCTTGCGAAAAATCATTTGTTGCAATATCATCATCTTCATGATCATTTTATTCGACGATCATATAATAATAGCTATTGATACACAAGAACGAGGTTACGATACGAGCCGAAGGCAATTGTAGTGAGCGGTGTGCGAGTGTATCAATACCCATCACATGATCATCGAGAACACTATATCTTCTACGACCAATATAAACAAAATAAAAAGCTGGTGTTCGTAGGGCCACAGGTCGGATGTGATAACTTCTATGGCCGGTCAGTATTTTCATGTATTTTCAATATTTTATGCCAGTCTTATGGTGACCGTGACGCAAGTTTGCCGTTTTACTTCTTTACCAGAGAACCCTCATTACTCATTAGCCGCCGTCACAAATTAACATATACAATAAAACCCAAACCTTAGCGCTGCTATTAACATTCCGATTTCAAAGAACAAAACAGCAAAAATAATGATTCATTGATTCGAACTCAAACTACAGCGATTGTCAACTTCTTTTTCGGAAGACAATGTATAATATTCTGATATTAATTTTTTTTCTGAATACAAAGATTCATAAAAAGTTGACTTTCTGGCAAAATCAGTCTGAAATAGTTTATGCTCCATCGCCAAGAAATGGATTATTCATGCATATATATTTTTTATAGTTTGTAGTTCCCTAAGATACTCATTTTTTTTAATAAATAATTTTCCGAACATGGAAGTTCTTTTATTTTATAAGGATCGGACTCAACCGTCGATGACCCAATAAAAAATTTAATGGAAAGATCAATTTCTTGTCGACGGAGCATACATTTTTTTGAACTAATTTTGCGCGAAATTCAAATTTTCATACATCATCTCAATCAGAAAAAAATCTCTACGAAGAAAATATTTAATGCCATCTGGAGAGATAGGTAAAATAGCGACGTTATGGCTTGGAGCGTTTTTTGTCAGAGGGCCTGTATATCAACAGGTATAATACACTTATGATTATGCCGGTCTCATAGTACGCTTTGACCGTGACGCGAGTTTTCCATTTAACTGCCATCCCAGAAAGTGCCCAACGGGCCTCTCGAAGTTATCACTTCAAAAGCAAAATTTCATTTCAAACTATTTATATTTGTACATATTCCAACATCACCAGTCTATAAATTGTTTTCATTTTGAAGCGTTGTGATTGAATTTCAATAGAATTGTCAAACAACTGAAGCAGGTATGTAGAAACATATACTCTACTTGATTATACCTAAGTACGTGTTTCTAGTGGAAGTATATTCGCATTTCATCAAATTCTGACTTTAAGAAAACTATGTATTGGATGGGAATGATATGCAGTATATGAAGACCTAAGTGTACCAAAATGCTATAATTGTCAAGAATTTTTTCACAAAAAAAATGATTGCTCAGGAGAGCATGAAGAAAGAACATGTCCAAAAGAAATTAAATTTTGCAAAAATTGTGACGCTTCCAACGAAAAGTACAAAACCAACTATACTTCTGACCATCAAAGCAACGATCCGGGATGTCACACACTTGAGTATCACATTAACATCCTCAAAAGTAGAATTAACTATGCAATGTAGCTTATACTTTTTCTTCTTCTTCTTAGTCTGGTTTTTCTATTATAGTGATTATCTAACGATCACAGTTACATATCTTTTGAAAAGACACAGATGGAAGCACATTTACTAAATAGACTGGAATTCGAAACACCCTCCTTAAGAGAAAAAGAAGAACCAATTGAAGTAAATGAACTTGCTGAAAAAATAAATCAATACAAATTTTGTACTAACTTTCAGATATTGCACTTAAATATTAGAAGTGCTCAAAAAAACTTTGATGAGTTTCTGATTATACTAAATACTATCAACCTACATGAAACAAATGTGATAATACTAACCGAAACTAGATTCATCAACAATGTGAATGATTTCAGAATCCCTGGCTATGTTACCCTATTTAACAATGGCACAATAAACCAGTGTGATGGGGTACTTATTTTCATCAAGACAAATATAAACTATAATATTACACATACTACCTTACCTACAACTAAGGTAACCATTAGTAGCATAAGATTTGATTTAAATAAAATATCTTACAACATTATGCCTTGCTACAAGTCACCCTCAGTTAACGATAATGACTTTATAGACGACTTGGAAACTTTTATTTCGAATATCAGGAGGCAGAATATTGATAT